GCGCGGCCCCGCGCCCGAACGAGAGCGCCGCGGGGCGGCCGTCCGCCCCTGCGGCGCGCCGTGCACTGCCGAGCACGCCCCACTGCTCGCAGCTCTCCTGCTCGCAAGCGCCAGGTCGGGGATGTCCTGTAGGAGGACATTCAGGAGGGGAAAAAACACACAGACACAATTAATCCTCGATTTCCCAGAAAATATGGGAAAATATGGGAAGTGGGGGGGAAGACAAAATCCCAGAAAATATGGGAAAATATGTGGGATATTTTTATTTGTGTGTATTTATTTGTGTGTTCCAGTTCCCCTTCAGACATGCCCGACCTGACTCTGGGGACCTCGCCCTGAACACATCAAAGCAGTGACAACGATCCGGGGCGAGCAGCGACACGGGACGAACGCATCGTTCCCGGGAAGTGGTTCAGAGCTCTGGGGTGGAGTCGGCGTGTCCGTCTACAGGAAGGATATTCAAACATAGAACAAATCGTCGTCCAAAATTCGCCTGTGGGAGGACATGCCCGGCCTAACTCTGGGGACCTCGCTTTGAACACATCAGAACATCGACAACAGATCGCCACGCCCCCCTGGGCATCTCTGCCCCCACGTTGGCTCGACGGCCCCAGGCCGCCTCCCCGGGCAGCGCCACGACTCCACAAGCTCGGGGGCGGCAAAGAGGGAGGTGAAGGCTAGGGGGGGTGGATAGCATGCAGGGGATCGCAAACATGGATCAAAGGGGGCGTGGATTAGCGACGGGTCCCGTTTCCATAGGAAATCGCGGATGTCCGCCGCCGAGCGAAGCGTCACCGGCCGCATTTTGGGGAGGGCAGCACCTCCCCGATCCATGTATTTGGCGACCGCGCGCCAAATCCATGGATCTCTAATCCATGTTTGCGCGCCCCCGAGATATCATGGCGTGGGCCATGATATTTCCCCAGATTGCATGGCGCCTCTCCTTAGTTCATTACGTCCCTGGCCCCTCCCCCTGGGCCGCGCACATGCCGCTGGCCATGATTTGCGCCCCCCCCCTCTTGGACGCCCCCTCTTGGCCGCCCCCGACAAGCGACAAGCGGTTGCAGTGCAGGCCCATGCCAAGAAACACCCTGCTTGCCTCCAGGGTGCCCTGGGTGTCTTGGGCTTCGATGGCTTTGCGATGGAAGGCGTGACGTCCCCACACCCCAAAAATCAGCGGACGTCCTGGGGTCTCAGGGTTGGGTTTCTTGTGTAAGGTTTCTTGTGGACTGGCCTCCATTGTAAAAGAAGGACGCCGCCTTCAGCTCGGTGTAAGTGGGCCGTAGATCCCCGTACTTTGGCCGATCCAGGCCCCTTACGGGTGGTTACTTTGCGAGTCGTGGGACGCGTTTTCTCCAGTGCCGGTGCATGCCACACCCAGCGATGGGTATAAGAACGCCTTCGTGAGGGTTAGAATAAAACGCCAGGGCCATTTTCGGATGCAACTCTTGGGAGGTCAAATTCTGACTTTGCCCTGGTCCGAAATCCGGTTGAATCCCGCCTAATCCGGCTGCATCCCGCTTAGTCCTTAATCCGGTTGAATCCTGCTTAAGCCGAGGCCCAATCCGGCGTCAGAGCCCCCCAAGGGGGCTTCATTTGGGTGTTGCTAGAAGTGCCCCTGGCCCAAGGTGATCCTAGCTTTTCGCTTCAGTTTGGAGCCCCTGGGGCCCTCAAGGCCTCGTGAGGGATGACCTGGAGAGGCCGTCTGGGCCACACCGAGAATCCTGGGGGTACCCTGGGCCAGGGGTACTTCTAGCAGCACCCGGTTAGCCTTTCCTGACCCTTCCGACGAAGACCTCCCAGTAGTTGCCTCCTAAGGCATTGCAGGAGCCCTTGCGAGGGTGTGCTGTACCCTCAGGGCTGCTTCCTGCCTCTCGCCGAGAGGGGCGGCGCGAGGCGGCCGCCTCTTGCCAGCGTGCCCTGCTCGCCAAAGGGGACGAGGGGGGGGGCCAGTGTAAACCCAGAGTCACCAACGATGTTGGAATGAACCCTCCCCCCAAGCTCCCTCTTCATAGGCCCCTACAACGGTTCATTTCCACAGAGGGGCCTGCCTCGTTGGAAGACAACCGTTTGGAGACCCTGAAGCATGCCAAAACATTGTTCTCGGTATTCCAACGCCACGCGTAACCTGATTGGTGCGTCTTGACGGTCCTGAATCGCGCCAGAACTCTATTCATCGAATTTCAACTCCGCGAATCATCGTAATTGTTACGCCCCCATACTCGTGAATCCTTCCAAAGCACCATTGCTGGTACTTCGATCATGAGAATCCGTGAAACTCATGCGAATGTGTTCAAACGAATGTGCGTGGCGCTCAGGCGAGAATCGCATTTTGAAAACGTTCCGCCTCAATCCGCGAAACTCTTGCAAACTGTTCAAACGAATGTGCGCGGCGCCAAGGCGAGAGCCACATTTTGAAAACGTCCCGCCCTCAATCCTTGAATTTCTTGCAAATTTGTTCAAACGAATGTGCGCGGCGCCAAGGCGAGAGCCACATGCTGAAAACCACCCGCCCTTAATCAGTGAAACTCTTGCGAATTTGTTTAAACGAATGTGCGCGGCGCTAAGACGAGAGCCATATTTTGAAAACCACCCGCCTTCAATCCGCGAATTTCCTGCAATTCTTTGAAGCGAATGTGCGCGGCGCTAGGGCGAGAGCCACAGTTTGAAAACCACCCGCCCTCAATCCGTGAAGCTCTTGCAATTGTGGAAACGAATGTGCGATGCGCTAAGGCGAGAGCCGCATTTTGAAAACCACCCGCCCTCCGTCTGTGAAGCTGTTGCTAATGTTTACGCTCCAGGGTCATAAAGAGTGAAGAAGTCTCGGGCAAAGCGCCCGGCCCGCCCTAAAAACTGGCCTGGGGGTGCCACGGGTATAAGATATGTTTGAGGAGAGGGCGAGGAGGAGGAGGAGGAGGAGGAGGAGGAGAGGCGAGGAGGAGGAGGAGGAGGATGAGGAGGAGGGGGAAGCGTGAAGTCGGGCCTGTCCCTGTACAGGAGGAAGATTCAAACATAGTCAAACAAATTCTAGGGGAATAGTTTTCGATTAGTCTTGACTACTTTTGACAATGTGTGTGACTAGTTTTCATTTTTCCCCAGATCCGCCTGAAGGAGGACATGCCCGACCTAAGGCCAACCCGAGTCCCCCGCCCGCCGTACCTGAGTCTCACGTCTCTCCGATCTGAGGGAAGCGGGTCCTGAGGTTCTGTGCCGTTCTCGGGCTCCCACGGCCCTCCATGGGCCCCGCGGGGGCTGTCAGACAAAACGGCCCCGGAGCACAAGCTCGTTCGGGGGGGAGGCCCCGGGGTCCAGGACCCGTTTCAGGAGGGACTTTTGGTCGGACGGGGCTAGGACTCAGGCGATCGCAATCATGGATCAAGGGGCGGTGGATCAGCGACGGGTCCCGTTTCCATAGGAAATCGCGGATGTCCGCCGCTGAGCGAGGCGGCACCGGCCGCATCTTGGGGAGGGCGCTTCCCCCGATCCATGGGTTTGGCGACCGCGCGGAAAATCCATGGATCGCTAATCCATGTTGGCGCGCCCTCGACTCTGGTCGGACGGGGCTCGGACGAGGATAGCCCCGTTCCGGAAGGCTCTCAGAGCGTCCTGGGACGCTTTGAGAAGGCCGCGTCGCCCGATTCCAGAGCCGCTGGATCTCAGAGATCTCCGATTCATCCTCACCCGATATTATCTTCGTCCTGGTAGCGACTTGTCTGGTGCGGGCCCTACCCAGGGCGCCACCCGATCGCTGAATGCGATGCGACAGGAGCCGAAACGCTGAACTAAGGAGCAGTTTGGGTTCGGAGGGGGCTTGATGTTCCTGAGGAGTCCTACCGTGGCTGTTTCTCTGGCGCTCCTCGTCCACGCAGGCGCTCTTGGGGCCCAAGGGGGGCCTCGTCTTTGTATTTCGCGTGCCTTATGTCCGACTACAGCGGCGGCTCGGGCGCTTGTGTTTGACCCCCTCGCGCCCCCGAGCGCCGCGCACCAGAGGTCACGCTTGTCTCTGGGGCCATTCCTGCGTGCAGCCGACGGCTACACCCAAGGGTGATCCTTCGCCGGAGTGACCCCTGGTGTGGGCCAGGGGGGGCCGCCCCAGTGATCGGCCACGCGCAGAGGGGAGTGGGGGGAGGGGGGAGGGCTTCTTAGAAGCACCCCTGCTTCTTAGAAGGCGCGGGCCTTCTCCACAGATGTAAGGCCGGCGCCTTCTAAGAAGCAGCCTCCTTCCAAGAAGCTATCCCCCCTCCCTCCACCCTCTTGTGCGCGCCGCCAACCTCCAACATCTTGAAAAATCAGTACCGAGGTTTTTCGTCGCTTTCGGCGTCTGGGGCCCCGGCCCCGGGACCGTCGAACAACGATCCGGGACGAGCAAATCGTTCCCGGGAAGTGGTTCAGAGCTCTGGGGCTAATTCGGGGGTGGAAAAGAGGGGGGTGATGACTAGGGAGGGTGGATATCATGGCGTGGGCCATGATATCTCCCCAGATTTCATGGCGCCTCTTCTTGTTTCGTAGCCCCTGCCACCCCCGCTGGGCCGCGCACATGCCGCCGGTCATGATTTGCACCCCCCCCTCTTGGACACCCCCCTCTTGGCCGCTCCCGAGTTAATTCGGGCGTGTCCGTCTACAGAAGGAATATTCAAAAGTAGACAACGAATAGTCGGGGTCGATGTTTTGAGTACTTGTTGGTCTTTTTGGGGCTACTGTTGAGCATTTTCAAATGTTCATCCCAAATCCGCCTGTAGGAGGACATTCCCGAGCTAAGCCCAGGCTGCCATGACTCCGACGATGTTGTTTCCTCGAGGGTTTTGCCAAGAATCTGGCCTCTGGGGCCTGGCGTTGGGCCTCGGGACGATGAGAAGTGGAGCCGCGGGCGCGCACGCGCCGCCGACGGCGACGAAAGCAACAAAGCATCGACAACAGGTCGCCACGCCCCGCTGGGCGTCTCTGCCCCCCACTTTGGCTAGGCGGCCCCAGGCCGCCTCCCCAGGCAGCGTCACGGCTCCACAAACGGTCATGGACGCAAAGCGGGTCTCAGGGGGAGGAGGAGGGGGAGGAGGAGGAGGAGGAGGAGGAGGAGGAGGAGGAGGAGGAGGGGGAGGAGGAGGAGGAGGAGGGGGAGGAGGAGGGCCCATACTTATACGACCACCATTCGGGTGATAAGGAAGTTGTGGGGGGGGAGAGGGGGGGAACCAACATCTGACTCGATCGATCTCACTATCGATCTCACTCAACGGGACACCACGGGACACCGCGGGACAACTCTCGATCTCACGATCGATCTCACCAGCGATCTCACTATCGATCTCACTCAACGGGACACCACAGGACACCAGCGGACACCACATCGATCTCACTATCGATCTCACTCAACGGGACACCACGGGACACTTGTCGATCTCACTATCGATCTCATTATCGATCTCACTTTTTGGGATGAGGGCGACGCAGAAGCCGACGTGGGCGAGGGCGAACGCGACGACAACGAACACGATTGCGAGGGCGAGGGCGAGGACGAGCTGCCGCAACTAAGCATTGTGAACGGCGGAACCGCGTGGTGGGGAGCGGCGGAGGAGGTGGACTAACTGGAGGGGAGGAGAAAGGGAGGAGCGAGGCGCGAGGAAGAGAAAGGATATGGGCGGCGAAGGGAGCGAGGCGAGGGGGACGGGACGAGGAACGGAAGGGGAAGGAACAGCAGGAAACACATGTAGGACGAGGTTGCGGCGGAGGAGCCAGGAAAGATGAAGGAGGGGCGATGAACAGGAGCAACATGAGGGATCGGGAGGGGAGAAGGAGGGGAGGTACGCTTCCCACCTCTGGGCGTCCAGACGGATCGGGCCGGGGGTGTCCTTCGCATGGGGCGGCGTTGTCGATCTGTCACGGCCATGGCGGGACAACCGCCAAAAACGACATAGGGGACGAAACGGGTGGGGACGCTGTCTGATTGCAGTTCTTGTTAGTTTCGGACTGGGCTCGCTGTGCGCTTCATTGCGAGTTTGGTCCATTCGGGCTTTCCCTTTCAATGCATTTTGCTCGTGGGCATCGTTATCAGTAGACTTTGCTGCGATGTGTCGCGGACGGCACAGCTCCCATTTCCGCAGCAAGCCAGCTAAAGTGGCACAGCTCGCGCTAGTAGAGGACTTGCGTTCATGCGCTAAGTTTTGCGCGACGCCGTATTCATCCCAATGTTAATCATCCAATCATGGTGCGTCGTGGGAAGACGTTACTCAGTCACACGTACCTTCGGTGCATTGGCAAGGAGAGGGTTGTCGGTAAGGTCACGCGCCGCACGAACGTCGAATAGTTGTTGCAGTGTAAATGTGGCCATGCCAACTTTGACAGCGAAACGGCGACTCTTCAATATGCTTACGGTGTCGTGAGTCTAACGGTGAGCGAGACGGGCGTCTAGACCAGTGTCAGTGTTGAACGGAACGGGTGTCCTAGAAACTTTGTTAGTGTTTATGAATCGCCTATTCAGTTCGACATGCGATCATCGCCTATTCTTTCCCGTCGGTCGTTGAACGGATGTGTCTTCGGATTTGCAGATCCCCATCTATTCCAAGAGCCTTCCTACTTCCAGAACCAGTATGCTGTTGCTATGTTTAGGTATTGCCTGAGCGTAACTGGACCAAATCTATTTTATCCGCCTTCCTACTGCATGTGTTTACCTACTTCTCCCAACCGACGCGTAATGTTCTTGAAACAGTTGGGGTGTCTACCTAGAACAGGCCCACGACAGCCAGCCTGACCGCCTAGAACCATTATTGGTGGGCAATATGGGCGCGTCTTGGGGACGTTAATGGAGGCATCTTGGGCCATCTCG